CTGACGATATAGCAGTGGTAGTAGAAGCTAAACATTTGCGAGATTTAACCACGGCTGCAAACTCTGCAATCCTCCGGGTAAACGATTGACTGACGCAAGCAGGTCTGGAGCTGGCACACCAGAAGACGGAGGCAGCTTTAGAATGCTACGAGAAGTGGCCAAAATTAGGGTCTGCGGCACCGAAATAACCTCGACGGGGAGTCTAAAATACTTGGGCATCGTTTTCGATACTACGCTCACATTTAAAGCTCATATCGAATCTGCAGTCGAAAAGGCGGAAAAAGTAGCAGCAAGGCTGCCAAGACTAATGCTAAACGTCAGGGGGCTTAAGCAAGAACGCAGACTTTTATATGTAAGTGTGGTTAGAAGCATTCTGCTGTATGGAGCACCAGTTTGGTCAACAGCACTGAAGACGGAATCTTACGCTCGGGAAGCTAGATCACTGTACCGACTTTGTGCCTTAATAGTATGTTGCGCTTTCCGAACAACGTCAGAGGAAGCAGCGTTAGTAGTAGCAGGTCTCTGTCCTATTGACATAGTGGCAAAGGAAATAGGTGCAATATCTGAAAAGCAGGAGACAGAAAGGGTGAGACGAAATTGTTTGCAGCAGTGGCAAGACCGCTGGGACCACTCAACTAACGGACGCTGGACATATAGACTTATTCTGAGTATAAGGAAATGGCTTGACAGAAGACATGGAGAGGTTGACTTCTACCTCACTCAAATAATAACCGGACACGGATGCTTTAAAGTAGGGATGCACAGCAGAGGTGCACGCAGTCGACGTCGCGGGCAAACTGCGCGCACGCGAGCGTGCTAGGCGAGGTGAAGTGAGCTGTACGGAGATGGCATCGTATACATATTAACCACTACATACTTATTTTCAAGTAAAAATGCGTGTATGTATGTGTACTTTTGCGACAACTGAGCCAGTGTGGCATCAGGCCACCAGAAAAAGCCAATTTTTCCAAAACAAAAGCGCCAAGTTTTTATTATCATGTTTAATAATTTTTTTGATTCAGTAAAAAGTATATATACATATCCATTTCCTCACGTTTTTATAAATAAATTAATTTCAATACATTTATAACAACGCAAAACATATTTAATTTACCTATTCCTCACATTTTATTCAGTAAATGAATTCCATCTTAATGTAGAATATTAGTGTATAGTGTATACATACATACATATGTACCTATGCATTCGGCGTGCTTAAATTAAAAAAGCATCACTAAATACCGCACCAAGCATTGAATTCCAATTATTTTGGCTTTTAGGTTTCACTAAATTTAGTGCAAAATGCACGACCTTGGCAACAGTGAGCTGAGCACATCAATGCTCAAACAGTGATGCCAGACCAAGTATTGAGTAAATGCGCTATGTATATTTTTCTTTTAAAGCAAAAGTTTTAATTGGCGAGGGTATTGATTTTTGGTTCTTACATAGAACACTGATAAGATTCACGAACTTATCTAAGGACTTAATTAAAATAATCAACATTATTTGTTGACGAATATATTTGTGTTCGTATAAAGTAGTAGCTTATGTCGGGAGGCTGGCTTTAGTAAAATGTACCATTTCCTGTATTCTTTAAACCACAAGGAATTTTTTTATGAAACTTGATACGAATATTGACTTGCTAGCGTCGCCATTAACATTACCATCTTTTACGTTTATTTTCCAAGAATTCTTCAACGACTCGGCGCCAGTGAGTCTTTCGCAATCGTATGCTGCGAATGGTTCACTATACTAAAGCCAGTCTTCCGAAATAAGCTACTATTCCATACGAACACAGATATGTATACTTCCTAATAGGCTTGTAAAATGCCCAATACCCAAATCCTTCGCATGAGTTATTATCGGTAAAAAATTGGGTACGCATAAATCTGGCATCGCTGCAGCAAGTACAGCGCCAGTGAAACAGTGTTGATATTTTAAGTACAATTGTACTTTTTTCAGTACAATTAATTTTAAAATGTACAAAAGTACAATTTGCCGATTTTAAGTACAATTTCAACAACAATACTTTTTGTACCAAACGCTCAAATCCTTCTAGCACTTTGATTCTTAATCCGTTTACATTTAAGTAAATGGATATACCTATATTTCATATTTGCTACAAAACGAAATTATGAATTGTAATTTTGAGTGTAAACGTGATTGTGAACAGTAATATTAGTGATGTGCGTTATGGTGATTGCGATTTCTTATCACCGGCGGGTAAATATCCCTCATCGCTATTTATTTTGAAAAAATCTTTGGAAATGCAATTTAGCTAATGGCGATCCTGCAGAAATAAAAGTAGTTGAGCAATTCGGGGGTTGAAAGTAAAAAAATGTATGTAAATTACATGCGTTGAAATTATAAATTTCCCTGGAGGATTTCCATTTTATCGATAGTAATCTCATTTTATGTTCATTAATATGAACTGACCTATATAGCGTATTAATGTTTTATCATCATTGTCTTCATCTTTGACAAAATTACACGGTCACCCGGTATTTATTTTATTTTTTTAAATAATTTTAGTTATTTTTTTTATAAAATTGTATCTCATTATCAAACAAAAACCTTGCAAATAAATCGAAACTTGAAAGAATGAAAAAAATCAACAAAGTTTCATCAAATTTTCACAGTTTTTGTTCAGAATTTGTAGACATGTTTTGGGTTAACAATTTCGTGGCCCATTCATTCTAGTATAATAAGGTGCAAGCTTGAAGTGTCTAGAAAATACCATTGATTTTTTGAATTTTTCTGTTTGCGGTGTTGCGCACTTTCTTCCATATAACGAACGCTCGCATTTTATGTTATATGGATGAATGCGCGTGTAGCGTTGTTCTTTTTTATTCCAATATTTTAAATTAAGCTTTATTTTATAGTTTTTGTTAGACAATGATAAATGATGTACATAAATTTCAGTATGGAAAAAAGTGCAACAACGAAAAAAGTTCTCAAAAATCTGCGCGAATTGAATGTACTATCTCGATCATTTAAACATCTCGCCCACCACTAAAAATGATTATTTAAATCTAAAGTATATAATAAATGATATTTAATATTTGCTTTAGAGATGAAGGCTGAGATTTCCATTACGGAACCAATTGCTATTCCGTGCAAAGTATAGTGAATTTTTTTATGAAACTCGTTGGGGATACTAATGGAGGTCTCCTTTAACTATATTTACCACTTTCACAATGTTGTTGCTAATAGTACTTAAGTTATTTGTTGTTAAAGTATCCCGCCTGCTATCACCAAATTTTATTATAACTCCACACCTATCACTTTTATTTACACAAATATATTATCCTTAAAAGGTTCGCATGCGTTTGTAATACCTTAATATACAATTATTAATTAATTAATTAAGTAAAACGCGTTTATAAATGTCTTCACAAATGTTTGCACATTTCACAAACAAGCAGAAATAGCAATGGCTGACAGTAACATAAAATGTATGCTACCATACGTTAAAAAAAATACACCACAAATAAGTGCGTATAATTAGGGGTATAAGTGTACAATACGTACATTGCTCTTATTAAAAATAGTAATATGATCGATAGGGGTCTTACTCCTGATCATAACGGTAAAATTTTTTTTCGGGGGGGAAATAATATTTACTGGTGTTATTATAGTTCAAAGTACACAAATGTAGAAAACGTACATCGATAATTTGATAAATAATGATAAATATTAAAAATTTTCGCCTGCGGCGCTTTTTCCATACAAATCAATACTTCGATAAATAATGAAAATTTTTAATAAAAAATCGCGCGATTATTTATTAAAAATTTTCGCCTGCGGCGCTTTTTTCATAAAAATCAATACTTCGATAAATAATGAAAATTGTTAATAAAAAATCACATACAATCTCACTATTCTGTTGACTTCGTTTTCCCCTTCCGATAATTTTTTGCTTCCGCGCTTGCCCAGCACCGCTGTGCAAAGCTTTGCACGCGCAGTCGCCCGCGACACATATGTGCTGATTTGGGCATCCCTACTTTAAAGCATAGTTGCACAGATTTACGCACGAAGACGTTCCGTACTGCACTTTCTGTACAGGGCAGGTAATCGAAGACGCTGAACATTGTTTTTTCGTCTGTCCGCAGTTCGCAACCCAAAGGGACGACTTGAGCATAAAGGTGGGGAGGCCACTTAAGGTTGACAACCTTGTCGATATCATGCTTGAGTCAAGAGAAAATTGGTCCGTTGTTTGTCATATGGCAAGCACTATCCTAAGAAAATTGCGCCAAGCGGAACAACTCCGCAGATCTTCATAGAAAGGCAATAGGCCGCTCCCCCTCCGCGAAGTAATACCTTGCGGTTGTTCCACGGAAGGAGGGAAACGGAGCAGGGGTGGGTTTTTAGTGCGTTTATGTTTCAATAAAAAATAATAATTTTGGGCGGGACGAAGTTCGCCGGGTCTGCTAGTTGTGTTATAAAAAAGTATAATAAATAAGAATTTGTCGCTTTTTTTGCTGAAATGATGATTTCTTTTGGGTAAATTGACGATTTTTCAGTGAAAGTGAACGCGGAATGTATCTCGCCGGACAGTGAAGTTTCGTTAATGGTGTTTTCGTTTCTACCCAAAAATGTTACCTTCTCATTGCTCTCTTAGCACAAACAATAGGAACCGGGCAATGAAAAGGCAACTTTTTTGTAGAAACAAAAACGCCATTAACGAAAGTACACTGTCCCCTTACTAACAGTTACTGTCCGGCGGGCCAATGTAAAAATCCACAAATTTTTTCTTCACTCTGTTTTGGAAGATCTAAGTGGAATCAAGCAGCTACCAGGCCAGCTACATTGTCACCAAATCAAATATTCTTACTAATTTCAATCACTTGATGTTTATAAATATTTCGAAGTTCTAAAACACTCGCTCTGGGTTTTTACACACATGACATTTTTATATATATTTTTTGACATTTGAATACCTAATATAAGCCTGACATTACAAGTAAAGATGAAAGCTTGTGATTTATTTTACGACTTACCCTCAATATTATCAATTGAAAAGTTCGATTGGATGTTATATCCAGAGGTAGGATTTAGGTTACCATCATGGTTTGATACTGGGTCAGTTAACGTTTCCGTTGTTGTCGATGGAGCAAGTGGTTCTACGCTAAATAAATCATCAGAACTCTAAAAAAAACGTAAAATTTAAATTCCCGTCTAAAAGAGGGATGCTATTTGAAAAACGCTTACGTCAAGACTTGTAGAGGACATCGTAAACGGTGCGGTTGGGCGAACAATACCAAGACGGACAGGAGAAATTAGAGACTCCGACACCTCACACAGTTCTTCAATGGAAATTTTATACAGAGACTGGAAAACTTTTACGCAACTTTGAATATGTTTGTGCGAACTCAAGTTTGATTTTCTACGCTCAGGATTAGGCATCTTCTCTAAGGTAAAAATTACAAAAACACGTACCACGGATCGCACAAATCTTCGGGTTACTAATTCTGCATCTTCTCTGCGACCTGGAGTAATACCATCATGCATTTCGCGAACTAGTGTCATTAAGAGAGTTTCCAGATGGTCTCCTCCACATTTCACAAATAAATTGTGTGTAAATTTGTCCAAAAGTGTAGAGCCTTGTTGACTTTGAAGATACATATTATAACCTTCAGTATTTGAAGCATCTATTGTGGCATTCGGGTGTGGATGGGATGAACTTTCAAATTTTTCAGCACCAGTCATAATCATAGCCCGGACCGCAGGCCAGTCAATTAATAATCGTTCAAGGGCTTTTCGCGCAAACTTTGGTGGCTCAAGATCATGTTCTGGCATATCCGCTTCAATATCAATGGAAGAAGATTTGCGAGAATTGCTATTAGTTCCACTGCTTCCCACGTTTCTTACTCGTGAATTTGCCCGATATTGCCTTTGTTCTACTGTCTGACGACCAACTGTTTGTATTAGAAATAACAAAATGGATTCTCCCTTTGAATTGAACCTTGTTACAAGATCAGTACACGATGCCAATTTGCATAACAGAGCAAAACGTTTATTTTGGTTTCCAGCAATAAGGGCTTTACATTTGCACTTCTCCCAGCAGTCACAATAAGCAGTAGGTGAGGTTCGCTTTAATTTGCAATCATGACCTTTGTGACAAACACGTGCACATTCTGTACAACAACACAACGACCCTGTTAGGCCACAAGTTTTACACTCATATATGTTCTGATTAATATGATCAGCTCCGGTCCATGTAAAAGAGCATGTATCATTGTAGCACATAACATACAAAGGAGACTGATCAGGAGGTGAGCCTGATGGGAATATCATTGAATTTTTAAGCAAAGAGTCTTTTTCTGATAAGTTTAAAATTGTATTGAGGAGTATTATACCAGCTTCATAGGCACGTGTGTATACTGATATCATAAATGGTGTTCGCCCCTGGGAATCCTTGGAACTCAGCATTTGATATAAATAAGGACGAAAGGTTGCAGATAAACACATTTGTTGTAAAATCAACAGTGCATGCTCTCGGCGCTGCATTGGTTCAAAAACATAATTTGGTGATGATACACTTGTGGATGCGTTGATGTGCGAAGGAGCTGAAAAACTTTTTGAAAGTTCATCTTCAGCTTCACCACTGGTAACATCATTTGCAACAGGATTTGAACTATTTCCCTCCACTGGCCATTGCGGAATATACATTTGCTCATCAACAGATCCGACACTATGCCCTGTACCATTTGGTTCAGGGTCTGTATTAATCAGACGATTCATCATTTCACGCAAACTAACAGATCGACTTTCGCGCGCAACATTTGAGCTTGATGCACCAGCACTAGCTGTAGGTGCACTGCTGTTTACATCCAAGTGTGTAGAAAGATTTGTGCAATTGGAGAAAATAGTATTAGCTAAAGGTGTTGATCTTCCAAGGGCAGAAAAAGATTTTTTTTCCTCAGGTTCTTTGTTTGATGTGGGTGCACACATGACTACGCACGCGTGGAAAACATTGCGTCCGCCATCACAACGCTCTTCAGCGATGGCAACAATTTCATTTCGTTCTTCTTTTTCCAAATGGCTAAGTAGAGCGAATGCGTTTTTAACGTCGCACCTCAAAATATGAGGCATAAGCTTTTGAGATTGAAAAAGCAATGCAGCCAAACATAGTTTAGACTTAACATTTCCCGCAGCCGATAATGGTATCATACCCATTGAGACATTTTTAACAGGTGGTAAATCAAGCCATTGGGGGTCCTTTATTGATCCTAAACAATCTTTAGCGATTGGGTAAAGTGTGCGATTCCCATCGCAAACTATAATATTGCTGTTGCTGTCGTTGCTATCATTACTGCATATAATGCTTATGTTATTAGGGCTGGCCCCTAAAAACGAAACGCTATCTGTAGGGAATTGACAACTTTGCTCCTGTTTACTATTATATAGATTATACAAACTGTAGAAAAGTTTACAAGCGGATTTTTTAATTACATGAATGCCCCGAACGTCAACTGCCATTGCTAATAATTGGTACCCATTTGGATCATGACAATTACTAATATTAACTTTTCTCGGAAGCTTTTGCAACCAATCCGGGCCGCGAGATGTCATGTTTGTTTTGTATATTTGAACATCTTCACGACGCAAAAGACGACACTGTTGCCAATCATCGTCTTTACCTTCACCGCCGCTGCCGCAAACAGAACCGGCGGTAGTATTTGTAGAAACTGGAAATCTAACCGCTACAAAATCTCCATCGACTTTTAAGACTTTTCCAACAGGCCCCACTTTGTCTTCTACAAAAACAACATCTCTTAGTTGCCAAAGTTCTTCATCTTTTTTATTTTCAATATCATCTTTGGCTGTCATTCTCTTTACGCGTTTATGTGAAGTCACGCTTCCGGTGTCACTACATGTACTAGAGGCTGGCGAAGGAGGTGGTGGCATATCAATGCGATCCGTGGTTTCCTTTGTAGAACTTATTGTTTTACTGCTCGATGGCTGCGTATTAGCAGCATTAGATGATAAAGAAGTTTTTATACATTCTTTTTCAGTGCTTACTAAACACGCGCTTAATTGTGATTTTTCTGTACAAGTTTGTGTTAAATTATTGATTATTTTAAATCGGCAAACATCACTTAGATCCCAAACTGAATTCTGCAACTGACCTATCTTTGGTATACCATTGGAACATGTAAATCCAATCGAACCTGCTTGATAAATGGGACATTTTTTCATTACCACTTGTGTTCCCACACTGATATCAGAGGTTACGGATTTAAATGGCTTTTTAGCCTTTGTACGGAATTTGTCCCAAAGATAACGGCGTTGATCAAAAGGTAAAACACCCCACCAATAAACATGGTTGTTTTCCGTTCTTACTGCAGTATATAAGGAGCAGACATGAATTGATGCTATGGGATCTACAGCGAATTCATTAAACATTATAGCAGAATGTTCAAATTTAGCTCCCAAGTATCCCAAATGATCGTCCATCCAAGATGCTACACGCCCGGACTCAGATACTACTGAACAGCGAATAAAATTTGCGGAAATTTGTTGTACTTTTTCCGTTATATTAAGAGATGAAGTTTTCGGGTGATACACATTTTCCATCTGAAAGTAGAATCAAATCGAAAATCTTAAGTTCCTTTATATTTGTATTTATTTCTATGCTCTACATACAAATAAAAAAAGAGATAGCGCTGGAGTCGAGTTATTTATAAAAATCGTATTTCGTTAGTATAGTACGGAAAGGGCGTAACTCGCATTTCCGCTACTTTACAGAAAGAAAAAACTTAATAAAATCTGAAACGCTAGGTATTTGAACAATTTTAACCCAGATAAGCTCTTTGTCCTTTTAAAAATCAAGCGCATGCCATTTAAAAAGTCGCAGCTAAGCGTGCGCTAAATATTGATACTCGTATGGGCGCTACAAGTAAATCTCGTGTTATGGGTGCAGAACCCAATAGCAGAGAAAGGTTTACTTTACAGCTGATTTCGTGCGATTGACCACGCAGCAAAGATCGCCAATATAAAAACGTGGGACACTCCAATTTCTAATACTTTAGGATTGTCCTCCTTAGACTTTTAGTTAGTTATGAAAATGATAATGCTGTAGAAAAAATTACATTGAAGCCATTATTGGCGTTCGAAAAGGTCGTGTTCCCTTAAAAGGACGATATCCCAAGGGAATTTAGTTAAGTTGCATGAAGTCTCTAAACTATAAATGGGCTGACGACGATATAGAATTGAACGAGGCCACTGTATTCGTCTCCAGTGGAGTTGTTTTTCAACTTTATCGACGACAAATTTGTTTGTTTGTCGAAAATATCAATCTTATTGCTTGCTAAGAAAAACAAAAATGCTGATATTGCTTCTTGACATTAAACCGGCAAAAGGTTGTAGTGTCAAATAAGAGGAAGAAGTAGTAAGGTTATTCACAGATATGCCTATTGTCATTTTAAAAGGCCACCATAAGTTAACTTGAAATTGTTTTTGATTTATTAAAAATAAGTATTTTTGGAGATAATAGCCCGAGAAAATATCTATTATTTAAAAAAATACAAATTCGGTTATATTCACACTAAAAAACCGACAAATTTTGTTTTATAAGCCTTTTTTCTTTGTTACTAATAGTTTTGCTACTTAGCACTTTTTGAGGTCAAATTTTTTGCAAAATTTAAAATATGACCTAAAACAAAGGTTATCCAACACAGAACGAAAAAAAAAACATATGGCTAATTGCACGGTAATCGATACCAAATGAAACGTAAATTAACTTAAGAATTTGAGTATTATTTCTAGTAATTAGGAGTACATAAAATTAACTTTCAAGACTGATAGCCCAAATTGCGAAATTTATCTCAACATCAGATATTTTTTTACTTTCAGTTGCACCATGATAAAAACATAGCAAGGTAGAACCGTTCTTTCAATTTGGCGGCCATGATTTTTTTTTAAGTTTGTCAGCCTTTTAAAATCATATAAAATCGAAAATAAAAAATTTAAATTGTTGTTGCAGAGATAGAAAATGAAAATGTGTGTGTGAGTTTGTGAGTAAATTTAAAAATTAATCCTGCAAACCAAAGTTCCCGAAATCTTAAGGAAATCGTTAGGAGTATCTCATTTCTGTAACGATTTTTTTACGAATTTTCAAAGAAAATTATATGAAGTGGTTGACACGAACTCGTAAAGAAATTTCTGTACGAAAAATAAAGAAAAATACCTGGACAAATTCTGAAAGATATTTTTCACATAGCACCATTATTTTCAGATTTTCTTCCGAAATTTCGTAAAAGAATGGAAGTGTGCGTAATTTTTTTCATTTTAGAAAATTCGGCAAAAAATCGAATTAAATCTTAACGAATTCTTTAAAATTTCTTTACAATGCAGAATACTCTGAAAACATGGTTTGCAGGGAAATGGCTTGGAAACGTCAAGATTTATTTATTTAACATTTATTTATAAAACATGTTAATAATTTTAAACGCTTCAATTTTTCTTTTGACTTATAAATCAATAAAACGAAGATTTTTCACATTTTCCACATTTAGTTCTTTTAGAACTTCGTCAACTGAAAAATATCTTTGTGAATATTCATAGATGCTTCTGAAGTAGGTTTTAGTCCTTTACAAGCATGAAAAGCTATTGAAATGCGCAAAAGTGCCAATATATGTACAGCGTGGCGACGAATAACTGTTACCCAGGTTTTTTTGAGAAATAAAAGGGTCCTTTAAAGATTTTGCGAAAAAAGTATTTTATTGATAATTTTCCACAGATTTTACTTTAGTTGGCTAATTTTCTCCATTTTGAGTCCCTTATACTCCCCCTTCTGTCCAACCTAAGGCCTCATACTCAAAAATTGAATAGACTCGGAACTGGTGACTAGGACGGTCATTCATTCGACCAACCTTATACAGTTTTTTTCTTTTTTGTACTTTTTTTATACAAAGCCTAAGAAAAAATGCACCTGAAAAAGGCTTGCGTGCCAAATGAACTTTTCTCTCAAAGTTTACACTGCTGGCAAATGTAAATAAGGATTAAAATTTAAAAACTAATTAATGCAACTAAAGTAAAATCTGTGGAAAATTATCAATAAAATACTTTTTTCGCAAAATCTTTAAAGGACCCTTTTATTTCTCAAAAAAACCTGGGTAACAGTTATTCGTCGCCACGCTGTACATACCTAAGATCTAAAAACATTCCCAAAAGACGTTGTATTTACTACTTGTAATGCTTCGAGAGCATTTCGAAAACGTTCGTCTGAAATTCGTTGTTTCCACATTTTTACCTCCACAAGAAAGTTTTGTTTCGAACAGTCGATTACTTTTTCATAGAACGAAAACCATGATTCAGTTATTTCGTTAAAATCGTATTTTGGAAACAAAACTCAAAACAACAAACAAAAACAAAAAACAAAAAATTATCTAAAACTGATTTATGGTTTAGGAACCGGCTTTTCAAATGAGCAATATATGTATCAAGGAAGGGAATGTAAAAAGCAATGACATAGTATGCCCCGGCATCGCCGGTTTTCACATTAAATCGATTCATTTGGCGACTGCTGTATCGCGATACTTTGATTTCCGTACCTTCTTTCTTCTTCTACGTGTTCGAAAAGTAAGTTAAAGTTTTTTCTGCATCTTGTCGCATTTCTTACACTTACAAATAACTTGAGCGGTATTTTCACTGTGAAAAATAACGAGTTTTTTGACAATCGGAAAAACATACAAGTTCGAAACTATCTTTAATACAATTTTTGATTTTGCTACTGGCGAAATTACAGAGCGCGGTAGATAATTCGAGTTTCGAATAATCGCAAGTTACAGAGAATCTGGACTATTAAACGGACAGGATAGCGACGAATAACTCTTACCCAGTTCTTTTTTTTAATAACAAGGTCCTCTATAGATTTTGCGTATTATGTTATTTATTTGTTAGTTTTCCACAAACTTTACTTTAATTTTATTAATTTAGATAAAAAAATCACTTGGCAACAAAAAAAGAATCGAAAACACAAACGCACATTAGTGATCACGAGTGCTTCTCGAATTTTGAGTACAAATTCTGCTTAAACTCTTAATAAACAATAAATCCAACTCGCGCCGGTGGTAAATGCAATTGAAGTGAAGTGAGAAAATAGACAAAAAATTTAAGTAGCAACAACGAGTATAATATATTGGTGTTACTTCCAAGTAGCAATCCTAAATATAATCAGCATTACAGAGTTGCCAAAGTTCAAAATTAAGTAAAGAACCTAAAGGATAATAGAAAATACCCCAAAACACCTAACTCCTGAAAAAATCCTATAAAACGCAACCCTCCTAAAGGGAGAGGGCAACAAAAGGTACAGCAACAACAACAACAAGCACTACAAATGTCAGAAAAACAACAAAACCACCAAGAATCCCAACAACTAAAATCTCTTCCGCCACACCAAAAAATCCAGCAAGACGATAAGCTACCACGAGCGCTAAATCTCCGACCGGCGCACAGTGGTCCAATCTGCTCTATTAGGGTAATTTAATTATTATATTAAGAACTAAGATAGATATCGGGATGAAATTTCGCACAAATTATGTCCGAATGACTAACAACTTCTGCTCATAAAATGGGAAAGATCGAATAGCGACCACGCCTACCAACCATATAATTAAAAAATCGAAAAATCTTTCGCCAATTTTTGGTACATTTTTTAAGCACTTGCGCACGGTTATAGATACCTGCATACCTAAAACTTTTTTAACTATTTGGGATCAATTAAAAATAGAAAGTCCGTTATGTATATACTGTATTGACGCCGGATCCGAATCAGCCACCTAATATATGTATAAAATAAAAGAAAACTGCTAAAGTCAGATCAAGCTTAACAACTTTTAGGGCCGTTTCCTCTTCTAACCTTTAGATTACCGGCCACTTTATCGTCTCGATATACGAGTTTTCGTTTTCTCATCAGCGCATTAATTTCTCGAATTGATAAATTGTTGCTCACCCGATGCAACCTCTAAAAATGAGTACCCAACTTTAAATTTTGGTTCGGTTTTGGTTCATGAGCCAGATACATATATTAGATATTTCAACCAATGTTTTGGTTTTTGCTAACAGTTGCTTTTGCTCTATATTTGCTTATGTTGCATTGTCAACCTTTGAAATTATATGACGAATGTAGTGAAGTTTCACTTTACGGAATAACAAATTTATTTTTACCGGTAAGATAAGAAAACCAAAACACTTTAAAGTGAGGACCAATTTATCTGCCCTGTTAGTAAAGGCAACTTTACTGCTAACATTAGAAAATGGCTTTCAGTAAGTAAACGATACTGATGCTTTGATAAATCTGTGTCGAATATACCGTCGGCACACAAAAAAAAATTAGTGTGATGTGCATTTGATCGGACCTACCTATGGTTATGTATTTCGACGCGCAGAATTCGAACTTAAAGTCAGTTTGGCCAATATACCTCCTAAATTACTTTATTTCTTTATTTCAAGTAAAAAATTAGTCAACAAAAACAAATTGTCTTACAGACTAATGCAGAGATGTAACAAAAATAATCTTAATAAATACACAAACTGTAATGGAAAAACATTAAGGATAAAAGATTTTAGAGCAA